ATAAAGCTTGGATTGGTTTGAAATGACTCTCCAAGGCTGGAGTCACCGGCAGAGTGGGTTGGTTCCAGAAGACCACACTGAACCCTCATTGGCGTCATGACTGAGTGTTTAGATGGCAACAATTTACCCTAATACAGGGCTGTATCTGACCTTTGGGATTTCTGGTCTGAAATTGCGGAGACAGTAAAAAAACAACCCCACAGTAGAATCCCGAAGGCTGAACATTGTTTTACTAAGTAGTAAGGAGCTCTGGTAGCGTAGTGGCTACGAATCGGGCTGTGAACCTTAAGGTCAGCGGTTCGAAACTACCAGCCGCTCCGCGGGAGAAAGATGAGGCTTTCTACTCCCGTAAAGATTTACACCCTCGGAAACCCTGTACAGGGTCGCTATGGGTCGGAACCGACTCGACGGCACTTAACAACAACAACAAGGCCAAGCTACTGTTGGACTTAAAATAGTATGTTGTTGCTGTGAAGTGAGTGGGTTCTGACCCAGAGAGGCCCTGTATAGGGTTTTCAAGGTGTGGCTGGTGAGCTTGAACCGCAGACCTTGAAGTTCCAAAGGGACTTTGTAGTCCAGCGATTTTCACAGGGTGATAGTTTAGGTAGGTTCCCTCAACCTTTATAATAGTCCTTAATCCAGACTCCCCTTGAAAACATTTTGAGAATTTAACAGAATAATGTAACACTTCCTGAGAATAGCCCCATTTTCTGTTCTGGTTTCTAACTATATCCTGAGACAGCCCCGCCCCCATTTCCTGTTGTTTCTTAAATAGATCCTTTTAGAAGGGTCTTGCCTAGCCTGGAAGATTGCCCCCTCTCTGTGTGGCCTTTGAAAGAGTAACTGCCAGATGTGGGCATCTATACCTTTTCTTTCAAAATCAAGATGCTGAAACCTCCATTTTGTCTGACCTTCTCAGCTGAGGCCACTTCCGGCAATAGATAGCTTTCCAAACTTCTTCATAACCCTAACGATTAACATTAGCCAATCGCGTAAGGACAAGACTGCATGGTTGAAGCCCTAGCCAATGGGGTGAGATTCATCTTCAGACTTTGCCTTGCCGAGATACTTCCGATTTTACTGTGTCTATTTGCGGCATTGAGAATTTTATTTCACACACAGACAGGCACCAGGAGAGTTAACCCCTTTGATATTTTTATCAAGACATGGGATCACCTGGTGAACTGGGGGGGAGGGGTGAACGCTAGGGTGCTGAGATTATAGCTCACCTGCACGCTGATTAACACTGTTGAAAAAGGGGATAACTATCCCTTGTAAAAAATGTCATCAGACACCACTGAAAACCAGCCTCTTTGCTGCGGTGGGAGTCCCGGGTGTCAGTTTCCTAATCCAGGGCATCTGAAGCTTTGTGAGCAACTCGGCTCCCTATGTAAGGTCCCTAACACGGACCCTATCCTGGTGAGAGACCCCTAAAAAGATCAACAGGACTCGAGTTCGATGCAATAGCAAGAGGTTTATTTTTCCAATGCGTTGGGGTCTACCTTCATAAAGCCTCTCCACAGGGAGGTGAAGACGACCCTGGCTTGTTAGTTTCCCTGCCTTTTATAGGATTTCATCAGCTGCAGTGTGTATAAACGGATTGGCTTTTGCTATTGCGGTGATTGATTGCATAGGAGGGGAAACTGGGGAAATTCCAATGATTCTGAGGGCGGCCTGACCTAACTAACTGTTTTTCTCTAAAATTTCCTGGCAGCTGGGCCTAGTCACGCTTTTGATAAGCTAAGGCCTAGGTGAATTTAGATGGATCCCAAAACCAGGCTAAAGTTTGGTCAAGAAAGATTCTTTCCTTACACCTACAAAATTCCTGCTGGTTCTCTCCACAGTTCCTGGTCACTCCCCAAATGCCATCTGCTCTCAACAACCCTTAGATCCATAGGGGATCAAGGAGCCCATGAGCCACTCTCCACTCTTCATAAACCCAAGAGATCAGCGTGCGTCCCTCCCTTCAGTTCCCAGTGAGCTCGCCCAAAGAGAACCACTCCTCAAGGCCCCGCGGTCCCAGAGTCCACTTTGGGGATCGCCCACCTCGGATACCCAGCCCAGCGCTCACCATCTCCGGCTTTGATCTCCCAGGACCCAGGGGAGACAGGGACAAGCGGGGAAGCAGAAACTCGCCTCGGCGCTGTGGCAGAACAACTAGGTTTGAGCAGGGCTGCAGGACACGCCCCCAAGGAAACATACAAGTTACCGATTGGGCAGTGTTGGCAGCTCCTCCCAGAGTCTCTGCACAGTGACCTAAGCGGCCCTACCATTGGACAAGGGAAAGATGCTCCGCCCCTCTCTCAGCAAGTTCTGCATTTGACGGAGGCGTGCCCTGGCTTCACCCCCAGCTCCCGGGCCTCCTCCTGCGTCTCTTCCCTGAACAAAGACACAGGTGTGTGCAGAGAACGCTAGCTAACTCAGAAAAGTCTGGTATCCCGGGACCTGGGGTCCAACAGTGTTGCGGCGCCACAGTGGGAACTTGGCCTGTTGTTATTAATACCTGCACTAAAAAAAAAAAGGGTAATATCATAGATGATTTTTCAGAAGAAACATTTTTTTCCTAGTTTGCTCTCAGAATTGAAAGACCAAAAGACCCCAACAAAAAAAAATTCCTCTTTTAAAAAAAATCAGTTTCCCTTCCCTAAAGGCATTCCTTCCCAGCAACCTTTAGGACCCAGTCTAACCGCCAAACTTCTGAAGCTAGCAACCTTCCCCAAATAAGAGCCAATGAAATTCAAATAGCTAACAAGGACCAATCAGCTTGAGAGTTGCATGTTATCTCGAGACTCTTCCCCTGACTGCCTATAAAAAGGCCTGCATGCCTGCTCTCTGGGTCGCCATCAGTTCAGATGACAGATCCACCGCATGCTGTGTTATCCTGAGATCAATAAAGGCTTCTGCTGATTGCATACTCGAGGAGAGTCGTTTGTGGGGGTCAGGAAATCGGGCACAAGTATCTATCATTATTAAATTCATTAAAACGTCATTGAATCGGTGTCATTTTATGTGAGAACGAGATTTTCTCAATGTTTACATTTGCATTCTTCTGCCTTTCCACAGTTACCATTTTCTGAACAGTATTCCCCTTGTGGGAGTCCTGGTGTGGCCTTGTAGGATAAGCACTGGACTGTTAACCCCAAGGTAGGTAGGTGGTAGTTCAAACCCACAAGCCACTCCTTGAAAACTCTGATACAGTGTTGGTGAGTCAGACTGACTAGATGGCATTTAACAATTTCCCTTGTGAATGTCATCTTCCCTTATATTACATGTATAGGATACTCTGGTAGCGTAGTGGCTACGAGTCAGGCTGCCAACCTCAAGGTCAGCAATTCGAAACTTATCAGCGGTTCCGTGGGAGAAAGATGAGGCGTTCTGCTCCTGTAAAGATTTGTTGTTGTGTGCAATAGAGTCGGTTCCGACTCATAGCGACCCTGTACAGATTTACAGCCCCGAAAACCGGTGCCGGGTCACTATGAGTCGGAGCTGACTCCAGGGTACTTAACAATAACATAGGATACGCTTCCTTTTTTTTTTTTTTTTAAATTGTGAATTTGAAACAATAGAGCTCCTTGTTAAAACTCAGAATCCCTAAAGCCAGCATAATTTCCCAGGCCTTGAGGCAGATAGGGCAGAAACAAGCCTCACAGGTGGTGTTTACTGTGTGATTATGAACCCCCCACATTCTTTCTTTAGAGTAGTTAATGTACCTTGTGCCTCATTTATGGTCTTGTTATCCTACCTATGTAAACTGACTTACAGTCTTGTTATTCACACTGACCCTGCATTGTTATCTAGTTTCCTGTGAGCAAACTAATCTGTTTTTGCTTCTGTACTCCCTACTTCAGCAAATTCCTTTAGATAAGCCCCTAGACCAGAGCCAGTAAGGTAGCATGTATAAACTAGCAGCCATTTCCCTGCAGGACGGCAGACTTAGGAGAATCTATTGTCTCCCTGCCACCCGGCTATAGCTGTACCAATGAAACTCTCTAAACTGGACATGATAGTGGTCATCATCCTTCTTTGGGATTCGAACCCATTAACACTATTGCAAAGTTAGGTGCTGTGGTTTCTTCTAAACATAATTTGTAACTTCCACCAAAGTTTCTTGCCCTGCTGCCTCTGGGTAGAGAAAAGATACTACCGTGGATGTTAACAGAGTTTATTGTAATTGTGAAAACTTGGAACTCTATAATGTGGGCTTAAAATGAGCCATCTCATGTCCATCAAGGAGTCAGGAAGGGAGGTAGTCCTTTGGACCTCGAGATGTCTGCACATTGAACCTCCTTGACCCAAGGACAGAAAGCTGTGACATCGGAGGAGGGGCAGAGGAGCAGCTGCAACAGGGCCAAGAACCAGAACATAACACACAACACTCGACTTCCCAGCCTACAGAGCAAGTAAGGCTGAGGGGCTTTGGGCAGAAGTTTGCTCGTAGAATGTGGTGCCTCCAGACACCCAAGTGCCTTCAGGCTGAGGCGTCTGGTGGCGTGGTGTGTCCTGTAGGCGTTTATCAGCAGCTGACTGGATCACCTGTGACCTGAGCATTCCGGACCCCAAATTGTTACCTGTTAACTTCCCTAGTACACCCAATAACCACGAGTATGCTGTCTGAGCTGTGTGTGGCCATGGAAGGGTTTATGGAACCCAAGATGAGGAGAAAAGGTTTAGGCAGGCATGGTTGGTACCTCCTATGTTTTGACAGGGGCCACTGTGTTGAACTCATGGACACCCTGTGTGGCAGAGAACTACCTCATCGGGTTTCTAGGCTGTCGTCTTTATGAAAGCACACTGCTAGGTCTTTCTTCTGTCGAGCTGTGCTGGGTCGGTCAGTAGTCAAGTGCTTTAACTGCTGACCACCAGGGCTCTTTCTGATCACATTATTCCGTAACTCATCCGCAAACAAAAGCAGCAGAGAGGGCCGATTAGAGGTGGGGTATTATGGACAAGCCCACACCACCAGTAAAGAAGACGAGGCAATGGTATATGCTGTGTGGTACCTGTCCTCCTCTGAAACAGGAAAGCGTCCAGGACAAATGGAACTTGTTGGGATATGAACGGTTTCCCCTTGGACTTGCAGCCCTCTGGAACAAAGATAGCTTCAGAAACCAGCAGCACATGACAGCGCCATTCGGTGAGGGGACAAACAGTCACTCCGTGATGGTCCCTGAGCGAGGAGACACTCTAGGCCATTGCACAAAGTGTAAAACAGACCCATGAAATTCGATCCTGGACAACGGGGGATGATTTCATGCTGCCTCCCAGTTACAGCTTTAGCTTCCAACTAGATTCCCAGTCTAAGCACTCACCCTTCCTAATTGCTTCCAATTTAGTACACAACGTTTGTTTCTTGTGCTTTACCAAACTGGTCAGATCCACTCCCAACATGTTATCCGGCAATGCCAGGGCTCCTTCCTGGGAGGTGGTTTCTAGGTCTGTGTAAGAAAAGGAGGTGTGCTCCGGGATTCCTCAGGCTGCAGGCAGCTGGCATGAGCCATAACGTGGGATTTCACTGCTTGGTATGAACAAAAATCATATACAAGATGGTACTTATGGAAATGAAAGAAAAACACAGCAGGAAGAAAAAAGTCAAAAAGTTTGTCTGTATTTAATACTGTTTAACATATATAAAGAAAAATAGATACAAATACATGGAAGCATTAACAATCAAAAAAGACTATTGTAACACTTCATTTTATTCAGAGAAACAGTTAATGAACCATAAACAATGGGATTTGTAAGTACACACAATCAAACCTATGCATGACTTTTAAAGCTAATATGTACAGAATTATCGCTATACATTATTTAAAAATTATGTTGCTTTGAACCACATATAAAAAAAATAGAAATTAAACATGTTTAATCATATATAAAATTAATTAAACATGATGGGTTTATAGTTCAAAGACAGCACTCAGCTGCTAACATAAAATTCCCCACAATTTGCCATGTATATCCCAAATCCCTTTCAAGCATAGCAATGTCAGGAAGAATAAATTCATGGTAGGTACAGTCTCATCAGTTCCCTGCCTATCTGGTTGCAGCATCAATCTATCAGTGTAGCGCTAAGAAATGGAAATCGGGTCATGTGAGATTGTAGACTGAGTCAGAGGATGAAGCAGGGTGTATCTGAATACAAACGACAGCCCCTCACAGGAGAGCTTCTGGAAAAGTCTACAGACACTGCTGCTTAGGAAGAAACTGAAGTCAAAGGCAGAGTGTTCCGTGTACAGCTGCTGATTTGTGTATGTGGTAAAAACAGGCTCACCAAAACATACTCCAACTCCACATCTCTATACGCAAAATTCACGTGCAACCACACTGTCCGTTTCCTAATGATTCCACCACCACGGAGATTGTTCCTGAACGACAGAGTGAAAAGTCAAGTGTCGTAACTGTAACCTAAGCATTGCTGTCTCTTGATGGCCCAGCAGAATGCAGAGGAATGGTTTCTTCACTTCTGCCTTCCAACACTCAGTCATGTACCTTCCTCTTCTCATCAACTTTATCTCAGAAGGATCAACATAAGAGGCTCTGGGATATGTAGTTCCTAACCTTACCCATGTGGGCAATGCAATTTAGTGGATCCACCTGTACTCTACCTTCCATCACCATGCTTCAAGTTCTCTTTTCTAAACTCAATTCACGTCAGATTTCCAACCATGGTCCACGAAAACAAGAAAAGATCAAAATAGAAACACAAAGTCGCACTAGGTTTGTCCTTTATCAAAATATTGACACAATTCCTAATTTCTACTAGGAACATATGCTGTGATACTGATTAACAACAAATAAAGTGGAAGACAGATCTTTTAATAACAAAAGATGAAGGGGAAGGTAGATGTCCAACCAGCCAATTCCAATATCCGCAAGTGTACAGAAAATACATTTGAATAATCCCAAAGTCTCATACAATCATGACTACATATCAGAAACATAATGCAAAGTAGAAATAAACAATTTTCTAATACAAAACTACACCAAGGTGCCCGTTAAAAACAACTGAAAACATCTCTAAGTTCAAAAGCCATGGTAATGGAAAGGAGACTGAAACAAGTTTTATGTAACTGTACAATTATTTACGTTCCACTTAATATATGCGATACAGCTGACGGAGTTCATCCAACCAAAAAGCTCACCAGAGGTGGCCGAGTCTATGCCGACTCCTGACACCCTCCACGTGTCTCACGTAAGAACTGTGCTCCTAAGGTTTTCAATGGTTGTGGTTCTGTGGGAATAAGACTGCCAGGACCCTCTGCCTACCAAGGAACCCCTAGCTAGAATGGGACCACCAACCTTCTGGTTAGTAATTCAGCACTTAACAGTTTGTGACATCAAAGGACATGTTGTTGTGAAGTGCCATTGAGTCGGTTCCGACCCATAGCGACACTGTACAGGGTTTCCAAGGAGTGGCTGGTGAGCTTGAATCACTGACCTTGTGATTAAAAACCGACCTTGCAGTTCAGCGCATTAACCCACGGCACCACACCACCGGGGTATTCTCTTAGATGCTGACATTAGGAACATAAACTACATACTAATATGAGAGAAATCAGTATTAAGGGCGAGGTGATTACAAAGGCAATGTATCATATGTGTAACAAAAGCTTTCTTTCCTGTTCAGGAAGGGGACTGCTATATCTGAAGGTGTTTCCACTCTTGTCACTCTTAAGGGGCCCTGCCCCCATGTGTCTGCCTGTGTGTCTGACAAGACTTTGTGGGTGGAAGAGGCCTCGCCTACGTCCTTTATAGCCTTAGGACTGCTCTCCAGTGTGTTTTCTCAGGTGTCCTTGAAGGGATTCAAGGCATTTGTAGGTTTTCCCACATTGCATACATTCATAGGGCTTCTCTTTACTGTGTGATCTCTGATGCCTTTGAAAGCATGAGGGAAACATGAAGGCTTTCCCACACTGCTTACATTCATAGGGTTTCTTTCTGATGTCATAAAGTTTCTCTCCAGTGTGTGTTCTCGTATGCTCTCTAAGGGACGATGGAAAACTGAAGGCTTTTCCACATTCCTGACATACATAGGGTTTCTCCCCACTGTGCATTTTCACATGAACTCGAAAGGATTTGGAACAATTAAATGTTTTGCCACAGTGCTTACATTCATACGTTTTCTTGCCATTATGGGTTCGCATATGTTCTCGAAGGGATGAGGGAAAACTGTAGGCTTTTCCACATTCCTTACATACATAGGGCGTCTCACCACTGTGCATTTTCACATGGATTTCAAAGTATTTGGAACACTTGTATGATTTCCCACACTGTTTACATTCATAGGGTTTCTCATCAGAGTGTGTTCTCATGTGTGCTTGTAAGGAGGTGGGCCAATTGAAAGCTTTCCCACACTGTTTACATTCAAAGGGCTTCTCCCCAGTGTGCGTTCGGACATGGCTTTCCAGGTAAGAGAGAACCATGAAGGCTTTCCCACACTCCTTACATTCATAGGGTTTCTCTCCACTGTGCATTTTCACATGCTTGCGAAAGTATTTGGGACAAATAAACACTTTGCCACACTGCTTACATTCATTGGGTTTCTCGCCACTGTGCATTTTCACATGGATTCGAAAGTATTTGGGACAACTGAAACCTTTGCCACACTGCTTACACTCGTAAGTTTTCTGTTCACTGTGTGTCTTCTCGTGTCCGTGGAGTGAGGAGTAACAGGTGAAGGCTTTCCCGCACTGCTTACATTTGTAGGGTTTCTCTCCAGTGTGCGTTCGCTCGTGTTCTTGAAGGGATGAGTAGAAACTGAAGGCTCTCCAGCAGTACTTGCACTCATAGGGCTTCTCTCCAGTGTGCATCCTCACGTGCTCTCGGAAGTATGTGGGGCAACTGAAGGCCTTCCCACACTCCTTACATTCATACGGCTTCTCTCCACTGTGCCGTCTTAAATGCAGTTTAAGGGAAGACAAATGCATAAAGGTTTTCCCACATACTTCACATGCAGGGATTTTCTGTCCTCTGTGGTCACTCCCACGCTCCCTAAACAGCAGAGGCAAGTGACTGATTAGTATGATCACGGTTAATACTCTCAGGGAACGGCTGGGTTTCTGCACTGTGCCTAAGTGGAACGGACCTGAATGGTTGATTGGCTGAGGGTTTGAATAAACCCATTTCTAACCACCGTTTGTTTACAATGGAATTGTGTTTTATATCTACATTTATGAAAATCTCCTCTTGTGAGCATTCTCTCAGTACAGACTTGTTTAGCTATGGTTACCATTTTTTTAATTTCCAAGATAATCTAACCCTCTGCTGGGTATCTTCCTTCTCGCATGTGAACCCCACTCACCTTGAATGCCTTTCCTGGATTTGGGGCTGATCATCCATGTTTTCAAATTTTCCTTTTTCTACCAAATTATGCCAGGAATCATTTTTTTATTGAACTTCTTATTTTGTCTTCACTGGGTATTTCATTCCCCAAAAAATATACTGCTGAGGACTTGATCCACTAGTTATAACTTCAGCACAAAGATCTGTAAAAAGTGATAAAATAATTTCATGGGGTTAAATATAATTAATAAAAGAAATATATGAGATGAAGATTTCTTTTCCTATACTGATACAGAAAAAGGAGGCTTGCACAATTCATTAGGAAAACGAGTCACAGTAAGTGCCTCACTAGGAAGAAATCAGTTCCTATGGGGTCGCCCCGACTCCTGGAGACCCACGCATACCAGGGTGGAGCTCTGTGTTCTCACAAGACTTGGCAATGGCTGAACTTTACAATAAACCAGCTGGCCTTTCTTCCAGGTGCTTCTGTGTGAACCTGAACCTGCAATGTTCTAGTTAGTAGCTAAGTTCACAGCTTTGTACAGAGGTCCCCTCTGAGAAGCGTGTGGCAACACCCACTGGTCCTGTGTAAAATTCACAGATAAATCCTCAGAGACCAACAGCTCCTAAAAGAGTCCACTTATTGTGGTAGCGTAGTGGCTTCTGAGCTGGGCTTGCTAACTCCAAGGTCAGCACTTGGAATCTACAGAGTAGGAGACTTTCTGTGCCAGTGACCATGTACAGTGTTGGACACCCTATAGGGTCACGATGAGTCGGAACCAACTTGGCGACACACCCCCATCCCTCCCACCATTGTTCCAACAAGGCACCATTCCCCCAGCGTGAGCAGGAAGAGGGGCAGGCAGCCAGCCCTGATCGTGACTCGTCACAGGAGTCCTGAGGTACAAGGACCTGACCTTCCTGTGGGAGATGATGATCATTAAGGTAAAAAAACCAGCAATCTACTCAGTGATGCTAAGTGCTTTGAAATCCTGGAGGCGCTACATGAGATACATGTGTACGTATGGATGGTGGCCTCTCAGCACTCTGTCCGTCTGCAGGCCTGTGCTGGCTTCTGCGCTGTGATGTTAGAAGCGATGCCGTAAGTATTTTAAATACCACTGGGGTCAGCCATCGTGACAGCTTTCTGTGGAGCTTCCACAGTAAGGCAGACTAGGAAGGAGAGGTGGACACATTCGGAATGGTTAGTCACTGAAAGCATTAGGAACAATGGAATATGGTCAGATCTAGGGCCAGAAGCGTAGCCTCTCCATTTGGCAGGCACACTCACACTCTGACTGGGATAAAGCTGTCTCCTCAAAGTAGAGGTGGCCACAGTAACATGGATGGAGACAGCTTTTGAAGAGGCACAACTTGAAATCAGGAGAAACAGCTGCAAACATTCATTAATAATCAGAACATGGAATGTACTCAGTATGAATCCAAGAAAACTGGAAGTTGTCAAAAATGAAACGGAGCGAATGAAGACTGATGCCCTATGCATTATGAGCTGACCCAGACAGGTGCTGGCCATTTTGAATCAGACAGTCATATGGTTTACGATGCAATTCATGAGGGATGGCAAAGTCTTTGTTGACAAAGAGAACAATGAATTTCTGGAGCAGGATGGTGGCATAGATACACGCACATACAACAAAGATGCGGGAGACCGAGGGAAACAGATACAGCCGGTGGGCCTGGAACACTGAGTTTCAGAGCACAGGATGGAGCGGTGCACTGAGGGAGAAGAACAGCGGCTGGGTGCACTGAGGGGCATCAGCTGGGTGCGCTGACAGACAGCAGCTGGGTGCACTGAGGGGCATCAGCTGTGTGCGCTGACAGACAGCGGCTGGGTGCACTGAGGGGCATCAGCTGTGTGCGCTGACAGACAGCGGCT